ACCCGAGGGATTAATAAAGTTCTATCTTATCTTATCTTATCTTATCTTATCTTATCTTATCTTATCTCTTTAAATAAAATTGAATTAAATTGAATTAACGTCACAGCAGCCATGTTATTAGTCACATGATGTCATTACAAAGCTCCAACAGCACAAACACCCTCCACCGGTCCAGTTCAGGTGAAGCCACCTGTGTCACCATCCACCTGTCAGCCACAGAGGCCACGCCTCTGTTAATGCAAACATGAATCCTTGATACAATTTAAACAGTTGAGTTTTAAATGAGGTCAAAAGACGCCAGTTAGCAAGGATCGGGAATCCAAGTGCCTCCCTCTGGAGGTGTTCTGCCCACCATGGAAGAGAGCCTATGGTTCACCCATAACCCAGGAGGAAAATGATACTTTCCTGGGAACGCTGGATGTCTGAAATGCCCGGCCGAGCCTGCTGCATGAGCTGACCGTGGACAAGTGGGTGAAGAAGGCTGTAAACATGTTTGTTTCTGCTGTTGGACGTGGTGACGTGGGAGGTCATAGGTCAAGAGGACTGACACCATCATGTCTGATGGTGAAGCACGAACCGGCTTATATGTGAAAAACAGAAGCGTTGCGTTCAGGGCTTCTTAAAAGGAGGAAAAGTCACATGAAGTGAAAAAAAGCATTTTGACCTGTTTAAACTTTGCGTAGTGACTTACTGTCTCGTTTCAGAGCCACACAGTGTTTTCATCTCTGTTAATAACACAGACATTTTTCTTCCAGGCTTTATTCACTGTCAGACCTCAGAGCAGATCAACACAAACTCACGCTGACGGTTTTGTTTCTGCAGCTCCAGAAATGTCAGAGTTTATGTCTCTGAACTCAAAATTTAAACTTTATTAACAAAAGTGTTTAAGACAGGTTATAAAAAACATTTAAACTAGTGTTTGAGTCCATTCATTTAAAGTTCTACCTCAGCAACAGTACAATCAGCTGGTAACTCGGGTACTTTTAGAGTACTTTTACTCTGTGCTGCTCCTTCTGAAATATAAAGAAAGTATGCCGTATATACTGAGTACTTCTACTTTGGATACTCTGAGTACATGTTGCTGATTCTGAGTATTTTCACTCTGTTGGGCTCAGATGCAATATCAGTTTTCTTCTTCTGGAACTACTTTGTGTGGTGGATGAAGACGAGTCACTCGTTCACTTCCAGAGGCGGTAGAGTCCCAGAGCGATGGCGAGGCAGGAGAAGAGGGTGGCTGAGGAGGAGCAGAGCGTTCGATCAGCGTTACTGAAACATGGAAAGTCAGGTCTTCATTCAAACCTCCAAATTAAAAACAGCAAATTAGATTCTCGCGCTGCTGGAACTTTGATATAAATTCAGAGCCGACGTTTGTAAAGATGAGTTTGGTGTCTGTCTGAAGTTTGAAAGAAGCAAGTTCATCATCAGGTTTTAGCACGATAGAAATCAGGTTCTACGTGTGGTCGGAGCGCTGCGGCTCATCCACCTGTGGTGGCTGATGGGTAACAGTCCAGCTTCATGAGTGCTAACATGGCGTGCTAACGTGGCGTGCTAACGTGGCGTGCTAACGTGGCGTGCCACAGGGCGCGATTTTAGGACCATTTTTATTCCACCTTAAGGCGGCAGGTTTCAGGTTCCTGAGCCGTCAGTGCAGGAGCTCCACAGGGATCCGTTCATGGACCAAACTGTGATGGTTTTAGATCGTGTTCAGCCTTCAGTCCCATCAGGACGCGTCGCCTGCTGATATCACCGTACGATCTGTGACTCGTTACCTCACGCTGCATCATCAGATACGGCTAAACACGACGCTACGTCCTCTGATTTCACTGTAACGTTTTTATATGGAGAGACTGAATCACACAGGCTGTACACAGCGTGTTGAGAAAGTATTTATACGCCGTGAACTTTGACACATTTAGTCAGAAAGTAGCAGATACCTGTGAAGTGGTACGAAGACGATACATGATGTCCAAATAAAAATGTGAAGTGTGTTTGTATCCAGCCCCTGTACTCAGTGCAATCAGCCCCCGTAGAAGTCGCTTATTAGAGCAGCGGTCCCCAACCTTTTTTGCGCCACGGACCGGTTTATGCCCGACAATATTTTCACGGACCGGCCTTTAAGGTGTCGCGGATAAATACAACGAAATAAAACCAGTAAAACACAGGAAAACCGAGTAAACGATAAAAACGATAACAAAATAACTGAAAACCGATAAAAACCCTGAAAACCAAACATTTCACACCTGAGCCTCAACTCTCGCGGCCCGGTACCAAACGACTCACGCACCGGTCCGAGGCCCGGGGGTTGGGGACCGCTGCTTTAGAGCACAGAGTCCACCTGTGTGTGATTTAGTCTCATTATAAACACACCTGCTCTGTGAAGGCACCACACAGCTCAGGGATGAAGACGAGTTAGCTTATATAAAATATCCTGAGCTTTGAACATCTCTCTGTTCAATCCATCATCCAAAAATGGAAAAAGTTTCCTACAACTGCAAACCTACCAAGACACAGAGCGAGCACGGCGAGCACTGGTCAGAGAAGCTTCCACGAGGCCCACGGTCACTCTGGAGGAGCTGCAGAAACCCACAGCTCAGAGAGAGTCTGTCCACAGGACAACTGGAAGTCATGGACGGCACAGATCTATGTGGAGATATGGAAGAGTGGCAAGAAGAAGCCCTTGTTGACAGAAAGACATAAAAAGTCTCGTCTGCAGTTTGCCAGGAGTCGTGCAGGGACACAGCAAACGTGGGAGACGGTGCTCTGCTCAGACGAGACCAAAGCTCGAGGACTTGAGACTGGGAAGCCTCAACATACAGCAAGAGCTCCAGAGGGACCTGGATCAGAGTACTCGTGTTAGGACGGTCAAAGTCCAGACCTGAAGCCGACCGAGCGTCTGTGGCGACACTTAGAAACCGCTGTTCACAGACGCTCTGCGTCCAGTCTGGCTGAAGTCGAGCTGCTTTAAAACAAAGAACAGGCAGAAATGTAGCCTGCAGCTGCGCAGAGCTGGTGGAGACGAACCGCAAAGGAAACGTGGCTCAAAGTACGACACGGATACAAACGCACACTGCGTGAAGCGTGCATCGTTTTCACACCACTTCAGTTATGTGCTGCTTTGTCACAGAAATTAAACATTAAGTTTGTGGTTGTAAAGTGACACAATGTGTAAAAGTTCACAGGGTAGCAACACACTTACACATGTAGGTACAGCTGCACTGTGTACTACAGCGCCCCCTGCTGTCCACACAGAGAAGAAAACTGGTGTTTCTCTGAGGACAGATGTAAAATGTTGTGCTGACAGGCAGCAGCACGGCGTCAGCGTCAGACTAAAGTGTTCGTCTTCACGCCATCGCAGACGCACAGAAGCACTGCTGCCGTCTCACCTGCCAGGTAGCGGATCGTCTGCAGTTTCAGGGACTCCAGCAGCGTCTTCAGCGAGGCCACCTGCAGGTCCAGCTTCCTGTTGATCTCCATGTTGTCGTTTTCCAGCTCGGATCTCTGAGCACGAGACACACGTGATGTCATCAGTTAAAACAACCAATGGCCCTGCAGAGCTACAACCCAACGGGTACTTTACAGCATCAGTACTGCAGCTGTTGTTTTCACCTTGTGATGAAAGTCTGACGTGGCCTCCATCAGCTTCTTCTCCTGCTCAGTGAACTGAGAGAAAAACATGAAAGCAGCTTCAGAGACGCGTCACGTGCCCACGTTCCTTTAAATTTACCCAAACGGAACCTTTAAGCAGCCGAGGCGAGTGGCGAGCGGCCGGACGAACCGCCCGATGCGTTTTGCTAAAGCTCCGCTGTTCCTGTGGTAAATTCCTCGCGGGCCTCACCATGTCGGAGACCCTGCTCCTCTCCAGGTTGATGTCCAGTTTGGTTTCTGCCATCATTTTCTTGCTCTCCTCCTGGAGATAAAACACATCAGCAGACACGTCGTGTTACAGCAGGGACCTCACCCAGGGTCTGGATGTTTCAGCCTGGTCAAGCCCACATGGGATCATCACTCTCACCTTCAGCCGGTTCTGGAGCTGCTCCAGCTCTCGCTTCATTTTCTGCAGGAACAAAAAGATTTTTAGAAAGTCGGGACGCTGCAGAGACGATCCAGAACAACCTGCAGATGCTTTTGTCTCTTTGTTAATCTAAAGACTAGGACGAGAGTCCAGCACGTGTAACATCATCAGACACATTGTGGCTGATTGTGACGCAGAAGAGGACCGAGAACAGAGCCCTGTGGGACGCCTGCACCAACTCTTCTTCTTCTTTAGTCCTAACCCGGAGTTATGGTCCCAGGAACCAGAAGCTTCATTACGTCCATTAAGGTGCACTGACAGGTCAAAATGTGAGCTCCACCATCAGCTGATGAACTTCCTACAAAAACTTCCACATATTTAACAAATCCGAGTAACACGCTAACTGTGACAGACTCGAGGAGGTGTCCAGATGTTAGGCAGGAATACTGGACGATTGGAGAAAATGAGAAGTAAAGCCGACGTACCGTGTTCTCCGATCGCAGGTTAGCGAACTCGCTCTTCTCCAGGATCACCATGTCCTTCCTGACAGAGTCCAGGTGAGCCATGATCTGCTGCAGGGCGATCTCCTAAAGAAAGAAAAGTCTGTAACTCTGTGGAAACAGCTCGAGGGTGGAGCTCGTCTCTGGTTCCCACCTGATGGGATTTGGTCACCATGTCTTTGTAAACGACATCCATGTTGGCCGTGGCGAGAGTGACCAGAGCTGAGACGATCAACTCCGCCTGGTTCTTCTCGAAACCTGCACAAAAATATTCGATGAGCACTCCGTGCTACAGCCGGTACTACACGCCGACACGCCTGACAGTGACCTCACCGCTGCTCTGCAGCTCTGTGACCATGGCGTGGGAATCGAACGTCAGTTTGCGCTGCTCCAGCGGCGTCAGCTCAACCTTCCTCACATCGAAGGTCGTCAGCGGCGCCCCCACATGGAGACCTTTAAAACACACACACAAAGGCTGTACACACACACAGGCCACGCCCCTAACAATGCAGACATGTGATACAATTTAACCAGGTGAGCTAGATCACAGTGTAAACGCTTCTGGAGCTGGACTCTGATTGGCTGTCCTTCATTACTGACTGGGTCCAGATTTATGACCGAAGTATGAACTAGTAAACACAGAAACGTCACAGTGACCGGAAACCAGCGTGTCTGCGGTGATTTGGTGAGTCTGTCAGATTTTTGGGGTCCTCTGCTTCAGCCTCACCTCTCCACGTGACCACCCGCTGCCGGAAACACCTCCTCATGAGCACGTTCATCCCGGAAGCTGCTGTGATTTCAGAGTTTTTGTGACGTTTACTTACAAACTTTGAGTGTTTACGCACAAATACACACAGCGCCCACAAACCGGAAACTGTCACACCGAGGAAGGAGCAGGCCCTACCCATGCTGCATTCAGGGACTGTGGGTCACAGAAAACACCGTGACAGTTGAGGAGACAGCGCCCCCGGCTGGTGCAGACTGGTGAGGGTGTCAGCGCCGTCGGTGCTTCTTCAGTTTGAACTGAAGCACTCAGATGTTTACATGCAACAAACTTTATGCAAAAACATTTAAAGATGATGAAATATGACAGATCAGTGTATTTGCTGGAAGTGTTCAGATATTAATTTGCCATGAGCAGGACGAGTCCATCAGAGGGACTGCTCAAAGACAGAGGCTGACGTGGTTTGGACATCTACAGAGGAGACAGGGTGGAGGCAGGAGGAGGAGAGGAGGAGCTCAGGGGAGGTTCATGGATGTAGTGAAGGAGGACATGCAGAGGGTTGGTGTGACAGAGGAGGATGCTGGGATAGAGGAGATGGAGGTGGATGATCAGATGTGGTGCAGAAAGAGGAACTAAGGGACAAAAAGTATAAGAACATTTAAGAAAAGAGAAGTAAAATCAGAAATTACAAAACTATTTAAAAACAGAAATAAAGAGAAGTTTAAATAGTTTTCATTTTCTTCTCTGAAACTTAAGTTTTTCTTTTAATGAACTGAAAGGTTTTAAACGCGGGAGGAAACTTCAGTGTGTGACATTTAAGTCTAGCACAGACGAAGCTCAGAATTCCGACTTTACCTGTCGACATTTAAAGCATCATTATAAAAGCGAACTTTTTTTTTTTACATAAATATCTAAACAAAACCGAAACAGGACTGAGGACTCTGTTCAAACTCTGTTTAAAAAAATAATAATAACAAATAATTAAAGTTCACTGAGGAACTGTCCTCCTCGGCTTTGTCAATAAAGTTTGAAGCAGACGTCAGCAGGCCGACTGTCATGGCGGCGGACAGCTGCAGCTGGTTCTCGGCGTTAGCTGTGGGAGTTTCTCTGCTGAAGTGCTTCTTCATCAGCGCGTAGTGAGTCCCAAGTCTTCCTCAGTGTCACCGCGGTTATTAGCCACGTTAACGGCATTTCCTGTACGCGATAACAGTGAGGGGTCTGCGCGGGTGTGTGCGGGAAGCTGTGCGCGGATGAGATCGTTTAGTGTGACTTCGTGTGAAATCCGAGTTTGTTTGAACTTGAACCCGAGCCGTCATCATCTGCAGGCTGGGCTTCAGGGATACGCCGTTTTTCTTTAGAGCTTCGTTTTGGCGCTGCTTGATGACGTTTCACACAGGTGATTGACCGTACAGGTACACCCGGGATGCAACGGGCGTCATAAGTCACTCTGCCGGGTCTACTGAGCTTTAATGAGTGTCAGGAGGCTCAGAGCCCGCGAACGTCTCATGAAGCGCAGTGCCGCGTCTGTGAGGACCGGACCACTGCGGGAAATCTCCCGATTAAAACCATCGCGCGTGTCTTTCTGTGAGCACAGCGGATGAATCGGATCTTTTTAAATAAGCGGAGTCAGTTTAAAACACTGACACATTCGGCATGAATCCAGCCCAGCTAACACCTCTGTGCTCTGTAAAACACCTAATAAAGGGGTCCACAGTGTACTGAGAGGTGAGCTGGTGACCTTTAACCCTGAGACATGTGACCTTTGTGTCCATGTGAAGTTAAGAAATGAGAGTGTTTGAGTACATTAGCTCAGATTGATCCTCTGACAGTTGAGGTGTTACTGACAGAGCGCACACCTGCTGTCCTTGAGATGAACATGTGTATGGTCACTGTTGGTGCAGGTGGTGCTCCTCAGGTGGAGGTCCAACGTGTTTAAAGCTGAAGCCTCTATCTGTCCAGCTTGGTCTGTTAAACTGGTGTGTGTGTGTGTGTGTGTGTGTGTGTGTGTGTGTGTGTGTGTGTGT